ACATCGACCGCCACGTGCGATCATCCACCGCCCGACCAATGAGTTGGGCCAATCTTTCTATGCATAAGACGAGAAGGTACGGAGAGATGGGGTCCCCATGTACGCCTCTAGTAGGAAGGAACTCTTCCCCACTCGTCCCGTACCATAGTAAGTTCATCGATGCCGAGCGAATGCTAGCCATAATAGCCTTTACTTGCTGCTCAGGGTACCTGGCTAGACGTAAGGTCTCCTCGACAAAGTCCCACCGTAAGTAGTCGTAGGCCTTTTCAAGGTCAACTTTGATAACCATGAATCCCTTCGCCCCCTTCTTACAACACATGGAATGGATAAGCTCCTGGGCGACAATGATGTTATCCGTAATATGGCGGCCCGGGACAAAGCTCACCTGTGCTAGGTGGATCAGGTCCGACAGGGTCCGCTTCATGTGATTGACTAGCACTTTGGCAAAGAGCTTGTAAATGACGTTGAGGAGACTAATGGGTCGGAACTGCTTGATGGTGTTCGCATTCTCGACTTTACGGATAAGGGTGATCAATGTTTGGTTCACCTTACTCGGAACCACTCCGTCATGCCACATCTTCTGAATAAATGCTCTCACCGATGGTCCCACTACCTCCCAGTTTTGCTTGAAAAACAAAGCATTCAAGCCGTCCATGCCCGACGCATTTAAGGAACCCATGCCGTGAAGTGCTGAGGAAATTTTCGCATCGGAAATGGCGTTGCCCATGGCCATCACCTCAGTTGCATAGCAAACGGGGAAGAGGCTCGGCTCATTCTCCTGTCTTATCAGCGGTGGCCCTGCCTGATAAATTCCCTTGAAGAAGTCCGTAGCCAGAGTACAAAGAGTAGTAGGGTCCGATACCAGTTTTCTCTGGAGTCCAATAATTCCACAATTTTGCCCCGTCGCCGCCGATGTTTGATTTGCCTATGATAGAAGCTTGTATTTCTATCACCCATCAACTTTCCACTCCCTCGTAGATTTTTGCACAAGTAATAACTCCTCCTGCATAATAATGTCGACAAGCTCCACACGTAGATGGTTCTCTAGCCTCAGCAGTCTCTTAGAAACGTAGGACTGACGGCAGCGCTGGATTCCCGCTAATCGAGCTAACAACCTTTTCTTCTTTTGAAAGATGTTGCCAAAGACCGTGAAATTCCACTCCCTCGCCGCGTCGGTGAACTTCAAAGCTGCCTCATCGAAGGAGAGAGATTGCTGCCACGAATCACCCAACATATCCCAAAAGCCCGGGTGGAGGAGCCACGCCGCCAAGAACCGGAACAACTTGGCTCTAAATGACTCGGCACTTTGGCTATCACACCCAAGTAGTAGTGGCGAGTGATCAGATTGGATACGTAGGAGGAGCCAGACCCGACTCATTCTGAACCTCTCCAACCAGGGCAAGTTTGTTATAAAGCGGTCTAATTTCTCTGCCACTCGCCCAACCCGGCCTTGTCGAACCCACGTGAAATTGTGTCTATCCATGGGAACCTCTTGAAGGCTGTTGCTGAAGATCCAATCTGCAAAGTCCTGACTTCTATTGCAGAAATTGGGGGAGCCTCCCACTTTTTCCGAACGATGAAGAAAACAGTTGAAATCACCCCCAATTAGCCATGGCCCGGTGATGCTCCTCGCCATCCTCTCCAACCCGGTCCAGAGCAGACGACGGACTGTCGCATTAGGGCTCCCATAGATGAAAGATATCAGGTAGTCCCTGGCCTGATTGGATGCCCGGACGTGAACAAATTGTCTAGTGTACTGCAAAACGTCGACCTTGACTTCTTCTGTCCAAAGTATCCAAATACCACCAGAAAAACGTCGGGCTTCAACTCGAAATGAGTTAGCAAACTTGCTAAATTAACAAATCTGTCAGCATTCTCCCTAGTAATACGTGGCTCAAATAAGGCAACAATATCCGGTTTATGTTGGCTAACTAAAGTAGAGAAGATACCCCGAAATTCAGGCGAGCCTGCCCTTTGAACGTTCCATGTGATTATCTTCATAAGTACACCAAAAAGAAAGGAATAAAACGATCACCATTTGGCAAGGTGTTGGACTTGCATGTTCATGCCTTCCTCGAGGTCAACAATAGAGCACGTAGAGGATAAGTTACTGACCGGTTGACATCTCTAAACGGGGTCCTCTGTCCACGGTTCCTGAAGTCGAACAGAGTGCGCCCCCTCCCCCATAAATTCATCATCAACAGGCTTGGAGATCGGGTCTGAGTCCAGATCGGGTGAAAGCAATTGTTCCTCATCGATGATCATGGCACTGTGTCTTGTCGGATCAAGCCCAGCGCCCACTTGTATCGACCCGGCTGGATTCATGTTGGGGACATGG